ATAAATAGAATAAATCTATGTATCGGGAAGTCACGAACGCCGACTACCATTTTGCACTGAACATGGCAACCGTTTGTTTTACTATCGCGTTGGTGCTTAGTTGCGATTTATATAAACATATATATAAGTTTTTAGATGATCCTTGAGATTTGATCTCTTTTCGCTGACACTCTCGCTGGCTTAGTTGCAGATAATACATTTCTCTCTTCGCATTGTATGTCTATATTTTTCTGATGTCCTGGGTTGTTCTATAAAACACCCCCAGCTTTATATTTATTTTTATTCTTCGGCCAGTTGCCCTTTTGCCGCACACTCCCAATTTTTATCCCTATTCCATCGAATTTGACCCTCGTATGAAGTGTGCTACTTTGTGAAGAATACGTCCTCTAGGTCCTCAGGCTCTTGGATGTCCGCTTCTAGATTTGAGTTTCTTTCGAACGCCAGACATCGGCATAATATTAAAATTTAAAAAATGTTCCAAAAAGAACACAAGCTTAATAGCGTCTTGTCAAAGGTTTTAAACTAGGCAATTAAAACGTGCACACCTAAAATGTGGATTCTTATGTAGAATAAAATAAATCAATGCAATGCAATATTTCACATTTATAATAACCAGGTAAATCAGTTAGGACATGTTTATTTAATAGATATTTCATTTAAGCAAGACATGAAATTTTTTGTTGCTATATGTAATTTTATGTGTCCTAATTATCTTCGTTTTCGGAATATAGAGTGTCAGATACGGTAGAAATAAATGCTTTTTTTATTAACTACTCTTGAGCATTTTGTCCGATTTTCATCAAATTTGGCCATGGTCTTTTGGTGTAATCATAGTTAAACTATTGGTTCCAGTGACCAAAACTTGATAACATTTATTTCAATTCTCTAACACGCCATTGAGTTTTAAGAATAAGACTACTATAAGGCCAAACCACTGCCACAAGACGGATAACAGTAAAACAGTGTTAAGTTGTGTCGAGATCTACCCCAATAAGTCAGCGGTAACGCGATGGTTCCGGTTGCCATAAATTCCTAAAAACAATCGAAATACGTTAGACTGCGTATCTCGCTTTCCGCGTTCACATGTCATTTTCGAAAGAACAGCGCGTCTTCTCGTACAAAGAGATGAAACACGATGTGTACGCTGGAATCGTGATTATGTAACCAAGTTTACAGTTATCTGTTTTACCTGCCGATAAATTGTTATGCATTTCACGATTCGTCCTTTTAGACTGCCACACGCCTCCTCTAATCTTGTTTCGGTTGTTGATCAAGATCTTTCATTTTTGGTCATCAGAGTGGGAGTGTTAATTGGGTTTTTATTTTTTGCATCTGTTGGAAGTTACGTCCTAGTACTTCGATGTACTAGGAAATATCTTAAAACACTGTGTGCAAAAAGAAAAGTATAGACCACGCGGTGTAAGAAATAAAACTTGAGCTCTGTCAAATTACTGTTATTATAAAAAAAATATTTTTTATTTCATCTTTCGAACCGAATTTTGAGGACTTTCTCTCAATAGTAGTTGTCGTTCCTGTGATAGTAAGTCTCAAAACTTCAAGTAATTTTGCCTGATTCTGTCTAAATTTAGCGCTTACTTTTAAGTTGAAGAATTGTTCAGTTTCGGTTAGTCTTAGTTAACAACAAGTGATGAAAGATGACGTGCATACTCATGGTGACTGGAAATGGACTTAAAATTTCTTCCCTTATTACTCGACTGAAACCAATAAACTGGTGGAAATGGGAATTTTAATGTAGGTGATGAAACAGGTGCCCTGTGGACACTTGGACTACTAGCAAACCCAGAAAAGAAATAAGTCTTGTCTAAGATAATTTATCCTTAATTTTATATCTTTGTTTTGCTGTTGATTGCTGGTTCCTGCAGTTCCTCGATGCCTTGATGATTCAACATCCTAGAGTTCTTCCAACATACTTTAAAAGTGTATTTCAGATATGTCGCCATTGAAAGATATTTGCTAAGTTTCTGCAATCGATCTATCTAAAATTTCATCACTTTTTATCATACTTGTGGCAGTTAATAAAATGTTTTAGTCCAATGTATACGTAGTTCCAGCTGTATTATTAATCAATAAATATTATGGAAATAGAGTTGGGAAACTGGATTATTGTCCATCCACCTGCTACAATAATTGAGTTTACAAGAAAGCCTGTCGCATCAGCAGACTGTAGATTCATTTCGAGAGCGTAAGAAAAGATATTTCCATTCTTTTTTTTTTTTTGGAAGAACAAATAGTTGCACTAAATGAAGAATGAAATTTTGTAACTAGTTGTTGATAGAGACGAATGGATTAAATAATAAATAGTTTTGCGTAGGTCTTGGGGCTTAATATTACTTAATTGATTAATTAATTAACTTAATTAATTAAATTATTTTTTATAGAGCCGCCGGAAAGTTGGCTTTGGTTTGTCTTCACGTTGCAAATTGCAACGGCTACATTATTCGATGTTGGACACTACCAGAACCTCTATCAACGAACTACAAAGCTGGGGTGTAATTATCCATAGCGATAAAGACATCATTTTTCCCCTTATTAAACTCGATCGTTATTAATTGACGATGAAAATTACAACCGCAATTAGTGCAAGTGTGCAGCAATTAATCCAATAACGAATCGTATCCGTAAAACAACTCTCTAATGAAAACGATTTAAGTATCAGCCCGATTTGCTTTCGACGACAGAATTTTAATTGACGAATAAAATTTGCGAAATTGTATCGTGGAATTTGTCGATTGCAAACGCGCGCGCCTTTGAGCGCAAAAAAATGCTTACAGTTAATGTGCATACTAACCGATTTTTGATTAACGAGTTGAAGATTCGAAATTGACGACTGCGATAAGATCCCGCGAGTGCGCAACTCAAACCGGTTAATTAATCTTCAGATTGATGTGTTATTTTGCGCGTCGCTCTAGAAAATGTGACGTTTCAGTTCGCTGTACGTGCCTTGCAGAGTTTTTCTTAATATGTCTTGTAATATTAGGAATGTCTCTCAAGTATAGAGAATGCAGTGAAGTGAAAAGTAATCACGCCAGATTTTTACCTTGTAACCTCAAAGAAATACATGCATTTTTACAGGGTGTTCAAACAAATCAAATCAGAAAAATTTAAGGGAGTCATTCCTCATCCAAAAAAATGGTATTAATTAAATTTAAAAATAGAGGTAGATTCTTAGATAAAAAATGAAAACCTTATCTTTTCGCCATATTTGTTGCGCGGTATCTCCCCGGTTCGATACGCGAAACGGATAAAAAAAGTCCATATCTGCGAATGTAAAAAACATGTTTGGATAAGGATTTCGGTGGTATGGCCCATTCAATCTTTTGTTTCTATTATGTCGGATTGGTGTGACATAGGTACATGACCAACTGCGTCCATAATACTGATTTCAATCTAATTTTTCCAATTTTCGTACCACTATTGAAATCTGTTTTCACAACACACAATAACGCGTTTTACCACAAACCGAACCTCAATTTTACGTACTCGACGCGCGTTTCGCCAACCAAGTTGGCATCTTCAGGAGAAGATTAAAACTCCTGAAGATGCCAAGTCGAGTACGTAAAATTGAGTTTCGGTTTGTGGTAAAACGCGTTATTGTGTGTTAGTGCAGTGCCGAAGGTTCCAGTCAAGAGTTTGACTGTTTTCACAAACCACCGATTATTTTGACTTACGCTGTATCATTTCCACAATGATTATCTACAATTTTTAAGGTGATTTATTGGTAATTTTAATTATTAAAAAACTGGTGAAGATATTAAAAATCAATGGAACTTAATTTATAGTTCTAATAGACAAAAGTGTCACCTGATTCCAAATTTTCAAAAAGATGCGGTGTAAGTTTTTCACTCTGTGTAATAAAAACTTCCTTTTTTAGTATTGTATATTCTGACTTCTGGAATCTTCAATTTTTTTTATCATAAAGGATAATCAACGTCGGCTCAAATGCAGATTTTAAAAGTTAAAATAAAAACAAATGGAAAGAGTGAAAACTGTTTTTTCCTAAGTATCTTTCGTTAATTTCCTTTCAATATAGCAATGCTAAGTAAAATAGTGGACTCTTATTAACTTTACTAACTGGCATGACTAGCACATGGAGGACAGAAGAACAAGTCAGGGAGCAAAATGATGTAAGTCGAACTAGAAGTATAATCACGAGACGTGATCAAGGGGCACTGATAAGGAACGGAGGACTCCTAAAATCTTGACACCAAATGTCGTACACCGATTGTGCATGTACACGAAAGGAAAATCTAGAGCTGCTGACATTTTGCAGGCCGTATTCCCAGATAACCGACTTGGTATCATATCAATGTTATAATATTCTTCACCTTATACCCATACAAATGTAAGTATCCATCCATCCATTGTGTCCAAATTCCATTTCAATTTGCACAAAATTCAGATTTTGTAGAAAATTATTAAAAAATTCTCTCCTTTTCAATCTCGAACTCGATAGGCTGAATCGCTTTGATCGTAGTCGATTAAGGACGATAATCTGGCGTAGATGGGAGTTAACCGTCATGAACGCCTCAACTCAAACACAGATTAACCGATAATTAGCTCATCCGAGATTCGTTTTAGTACAAACATAAACCGACAAGAATCAAATCTAATAAATGCTATTAAGAGGCACGTACAGTTAATATTAATGAACTAACGCATACCTTTAGGTTTTATGTACTGTAATGTATGTTATTATATTGCCGTTCGTATTACGTACGGACATATTGCTTACCTATGCTAAACTTAACAGTTCGCGGGGCTTTTTCTTGCGGCATGAACTAAGCGTGTCAGAAGTCAAGGGTGAAATCAGGAAGCAGTAAAACCGGTACGCATGCAAGTAATAAGTTTTGTTTTATGAGCAAGGTGCGTTTTGGCTCTGTACGCTTGATGTCAAAATGCATTATTTGAAAGCGATATTTTACGACATTTAACCCGGATTTCAAACAACTGAACCCTCACCATGTATCTTTTTGTTTCAGCGCCCACCCTAAACGACGAACAGAGCACTGAAATTGAATACTATCCGGGTAAGTATTAACTTTTTTTTGTATTTGTTTAAGACTCTTATTACTTGTTATTTCAAACTAGATGTAAAAGTTATGAGGGGCTTTTTGCACCTCTTTTGAAATTTCCCCTTATATCAATTTATTTTTTATTAACGTCTTTTGACGTAATTTTCGGGATGTTATTTTAAAACCAAACTTTTTAAGTTTTTGTTAAGTTTTGTTTTGTTGACATTATGTCAAAGGGTGTTTTCATTACGCTTTATTTGGCCACTGGTACGTAAGGCAATTGATACAAATAAAATTGTAACAAAATGGCTTCTTGATGGGAAGGTTCTGCAACATTCTATCTTCCTCCAGAGGCGACATTCTTGATATAACTTGAAGTAATAACAGTAAACGGTCACCCCTCATCCTCATCATCATCGGATGCATCCGGCCTAGGTACCTGCCTAAATTGCCGTGTCCTTTTCTTAATTTCACTTAATATAAATCCGTATTTATCCACAAAACCCTTCAAGGGATCGCAACAATTTGCAAAGACTTCCTCACAGTGCAAACTATTAACTTCACAACATGTTCACGTTAAAAGGTTAAGTTAGCTTTATTGAAATTGAAAATGTAATGTTAAATGTTTTAAGATGCAGGAGAATACTGAATCATGAACTTCTAAGCAGACTTCCTTTAAATTTTGAAACCACGGCCCAGTTAAATCGTAATTTTCTTCAAGCCATAACTTACTTATCAGTTCTGAATAGCCTTTCAGGGATATATTATTTTAAAAGTTCTCTAATATCATATCCGATATCAGCCATCATCCGATATCATATCACATACAGTTTTACCTTCAAAACCCAAAATATTTATTATTGGGTACCATAAACGGGAGGAATTCTAAACAGTTCTAGAAGGAAGCGCTCTTCTGACTTCAGACATTAAGCTACATTTAAACTGCGATCTCAACTCATTTTTTTCCCGTAAAAGGAATGGGATATGGGCATATTTTGAGTGCCGAAATCATCGAGTTTGTTTTAAAACAGCTTATTTCTGGTGGGTTGCGGTTCTTCTGGTATTAACTAAATTAACCTTGACTGTAGGTTTTGCATCTATTTTACAGTTGCTGACGCAACGGGTTGCTACTACAATTTTCAACACTATGACGAGGGTGATAGAATAATCACAAACGAGCCATGTCTCAACTGCACGTGTCACAACCGCATGCTTATGTGCTACCTCAGGGTATGTCCTTTTACCAAAGCTATAGGCGCAGATTGCAAGGTGGAGAAACGGCCTGACCAATGCTGTCCCGTTATAACATGCCCGGAAGGTATGTCGGTTTGTAAAAATTTTCTGAAAGTGGAACTAATTGAGCACTTTAAACCAGTACCGGTTCAATTGGTGACTTCAACAGTACCGTCAACTGCCTTGGGACACTTGAACGAATACGGATGCTCTATCAACAATCTTTTCTACTCGGATGGTGCGAGGGTCCCCTCCAACCCCAACAACCCTTGCGAACTCTGCTACTGCATACGAAACAAAACCGCCTGCGTGATCCAACAATGTACATTGGAAGTTGAAGGTTGTCGTCCTGTTTTCCAAGAAGGTGTTTGTTGTCCAGTTCGATACAATTGCGGTAAGTTACTTTTCCCATGTGTTTTGCTGGTCACTAAGTTTTACCTTTTCAGAACATCCGGACTATCTGGAAGGACCCACAACTCCCCTTATAACATCAACCACTACAACGACGACAACACTGGCACCTACGACCACTTTGGCACCTAGCGATTGTATATACCATGATCAAATATACGCAGATGGCTCGCTAGTTAAAAAAGATGTCCCGTGCGAAAAATGTTACTGCATGAGAGGCGACATAGTCTGTGCCGTGCAAGAATGTGGTCCAACGCCATTAGACAAAGTCAACTGCACAGCTCTACCAGTCCGTGAAGGTCAATGTTGTCCAGATACTTATGACTGCGAGAACGTAATCGAAGAAGAACTGACTACCCTTTCTTCGTACGAGCCTCCGACCACCCAGCCGACTTTACCTAATGTTTTAGAACAAGAGACTGAAATTCCTCCAAAACCACAAGTGGAAATTCAAGATAGGCACAAACCTGACGGACCTACTGCTGAACCTGTCACCGAAGAGGCCACTAAAGCTACAGAATTCACTTCGTCTTCACCTGAACAAGCAATAACTAAGATATCGCCGGATACGGAACCTAGTAAGGTGGCAGACACTACTGAAATTCCCAGCGACTCACAGCAAGGTGTTACCAAACCCGAAGCACAAATAACTGAAAAATCTCCCGCTGAAACCGAATTGCCGCAAGTGACAGAAGAAATTCCGTCTGAAGTTACCAAACCGCCTAAAGAGTCTACTGATGTTTCGGAAACGGAAAAATCGGAAGTGACACCTGCGGAAGAAATCACTAAAAAAGCAGAAAGTCCGGAGGCATCAACGGCGGTCGCAGAAGAAGATTCTTCCAAACCAGCGGTTACTGAGGTTCCGAAAGAGGATACTGAAGCTCCAATTGAATCAATCACCGCCAGAATTACAGAAGCTATTGATTCAGTTACCGCCAGGGTTACAGAAGCCATTGAGTCTATAACGTCGTCCATAAGTGGAAGCAGCACTGAACCAGAAGTTCAAGAGGAGCTAACGAAGAAACCCGAAGAGGAAGGTAAAGGTACCGAAGAAATTCCAGCCGAAGAAAGTAGCACTAAACTACCTGAAGAAGAACTTCAGTTCCCTACACACCCGTCAGCAATAGAAAAAGAAACGGATAAGGTACAGGAGGAAGCAGTGCCTACCGAATCTGAAAAAGAAAAGCCAGAGAAGGAGACAACAGAAAAAATATCAGAAGACGAATCCGTCACGGAGCCCTCGAAGGAATACGAAGAAACAGAGAAGGCAACTGAAGCTCCTGAAACTTCCGAGGATTCGACCGAAGCTAAATCTTCTGAGGCTACCGTATCCGAAGGAAAAGAAGTAGAAATCGTATCTGCCATAACTACTGAGACTCCAGATGAGGAACAGACTAAACAAACCGCTAAAGCAGAGGAAACCGAAGGAGGAGAAGAACAACCGGAAACTACCAAACTACCGGAGACATCTTCTCCATCAAGCGAAGAAAAATCACCGGCTACAGAGACCGAGCAAGAAGCTATCACAGAAGAACCCATTATTTCCAAGGAATGTGGAGAACAAGAATGCGCAAGGCCAACTTCTGGGAAGAAGACAGAAAAAGAACCGACTATTCCAAAAGAGAGTACAGATTTGCCACCGAAAGCAGATACAACGTCGATACCGGAAGTAGAAATTAGAATTAAAGATAAAGAAGAGCCCGAAGAGACATCTGAACACCTCCCTGAAGTGACTCAACGAACTTTGGAAACGGAGACAGAAGAAGAAATGGTCGTAATTACAGAATTGCCCAAGAAGACTGAAATGCCTGTAGCCATGGATCATATTTCTGAAAGTCTAAAACCTCAAGAAAAACCAAAGGAATCAACTGAACTTCTAGAGGTAACGGAAACACCTGAAACAGCTGTTACACTTGGAGAAAAACAAACACCTGAAGCAGAATTAGCTCAAGTTACCGAAGCGGAAATATTTAAATCTACCGAGAAGCCTAGTGAGGTCGAAATAGAACCAACCGCCACACAAGGTGTAATGGTAGAAGAACATACTGAGCCTCCAAAAGGGACGGAACCTTTAGCAACGGAAGTTGCTAAATCCGATATTACAGAAAAGCCAATAGAAGTACAGACGCCATCATCGGAATTGCCGTCGGAAGCTGAAGAACAAACCGAAGCTACCATCTCACAAAAACCAACTGAAATCGGTCAGGTTGATTCTACGACACAGTTACCCGAATTGGAAAGTTCTACAGAAACTGGAAAACCCGAAGAGGAACCATCATCGCCTGGAGTAACGGAAACTTTACCCAAAGAACCCTCAGAGTTACCTACTAAGGTTCCTGAAATCCTTGAAACAACACAAGTACCTCTTAAAAATGTAGAAGCTACAAAGAGCCCTTCGGATGAAGTTTCGGAAGCCGCAACGAAACAGTCACTTGCAGAAACGACAACTGTTGTTGTTGAAGAGGCGACTGAAGAACCGAAATCTGAAGAGAATGAAATAGCTCCACATGAAAGTAAAGAAACGTCTACAAAGAAACATGATGACGAAACTGTCGCCCCTGAGCTTATAACTAGAGTAACTCCTGAAGAACCTCAAATTGTTACCGAAAGCGAATTAAGTACGGCAGTTAAAGATGTGACCCAAAAAACAATCGTTCCTGAAGGGTGCGCATCGGCTACTGATTGTGCCTCACAGACAGAAGCCCCACAAGATATTGAAATGTCAACTAAACCTATCTCAAAAGAAACACTTAGTCCTGAAAATGAGACTGAAAGCAACAAAATCCCGGAGACTGAAGAAACGAACGCCATACCCGAAGGTCCAGAACAAACTGTTACCTCTACTGCTACTGAGTCGCCGGTGACCCAACTAATTGAACTTGAACCTTTAACAAGAGTTACTCAACAACCGGAAGAAGAAAGCTCCGGTGAAAAATCGAGTGAAGAGTCGTCAAGTTCTGAAGAAGAACTGGAGGAAGGTAGCGGAGCGAGTGAAGAACCTCCATCTGAAGTCTCTAAAGCAACCAGCCCCACTCAACAGTCTATCACACAAAAAGCTGAAGTCGAAACCGAGGCCCAAGAAGAATTTTCCAGTGCAAGTCCACAGAAACCTACAACAGACATTAGCGACTTGTCAAAATCTACTGAATCTGCTTTGCCAGCATTCACCGCAGATAATGGAACAGAAATTTCTTCAGTTAGTAGCGTAGAAATCACCACAGTTAGTAGTTCTGAGCTCATCACAATTAGTAGTGATCAAGTTATCGGTGAATCTGAAACTGTACCCTTCGAGAAACAGCAAACGGAACAACCCGAACGGGAAATTCCAGGTGAAGGAAGTTGTTTGGTTGACGGACAAACATATAGAAACAACAGTAGCGTACCTCCTATCAATCACTGTCAAGTGTCGTGCTTATGTTTAAGTTCAATTTTGAAGTGTGAGTCTATAGATTGCCCACCGCCACCATCACTTGTTCAAAATTGCATGCCAATTTTCTCTACGCCCGAGAGTTGTTGTCCAACGTACAGTTGCAGTAAGTTCATGTGATTACATTACTTTATGAATTTATTTAATTGGTCTTTTCTTTTAGCTGGACCTGAGGCTACGAGTATGGAATCTGACAGTCACATTATAGAAACCACAAGTAGTCTGACTGAAAAAGCAGCAACTATAAGAACATCAATATCGGAAACTGACACTACAAGTGCTGAAATACAAGTTACACAACAACCAGAAGCACTAACAGAAGCTCCAACAGAATCCAGTTCGCATATACCCAAAAAATCAGCTGACGAAAACGAAATTGAACGAGAGATAACCGAGGCACCGATAGTAATTGAGAGGTGTGATGGAGCAGGTTGCAAACCTACACCAAGCCGACCGGAGATTACCACAGAACATGAAGATAGCAAGAAACAGGAAACCGAATCTGTCCCAACGGAAGAATCAATACCATCTGATTTGCCAGAAACACAAACCGACAAAACTACAGGGCTTCCTGAGAGTATAACAAAAGAGCAACTTCCATCAGAACAGCCTCAAACTGAAAGTTCAGTTCCCTTCAGAGAGACAGAATCCTTTACTAATGATACACAAATCCAAATAACAACACAGCGCTCAGCAGAGGAGGGTACGGAGCCGGAAGAAACTACAAAGGTTGGTGTAGCTATATTGCCAACTAAACTTTTGCCAACAGAGGTTACCACTGAAGCACAATCTGAAGAGGATACAAAAGAAACAGAAAACTTACCAGAAATCGAACCAACAACTCAAGTTCCTTCCCACTATACTGAGAAAACTGCAATATCTGATAAAGAAGTGGCGACAGTACCTAGTGAACAGGAGTCAACATTAGCAGGTACTGAAGAACCTGAGCAAGTTAGTGATGCTGAGGTTACTACGCAGGCGTCTCTGCCAGAAGTACCTTCCATTACATCTGAAGAAGAGCCTGTGGATAAAATTCAGGTCACTGATGTCAGCATACCTGGCGAAGAGGTGGAGTCGGTAACCCAAACCTTACCGATTACTAAAGAACCAGAGGAGGAAGAAGGTCCAAAATTAACAACTAAATTACCTGAAGAAACCGTACCAGAACAAAGGCAAACTACCATGCAGCCGGAACTTGAAGAAGTGCCTATTACAACACCAAAAGAGGTTACTGATCAACCTTCTGCCACAAGTCTCCCAGGCAAGGAACAATCGGAAGCTTTACCTATCAGGCCTTCAACAGAAAAGACAGAATTGCCTCAAATTTCGGACAAAGAAACTACGACAATACATGAAATAGGCACAGAAACTGATGTTCTTGAATTAACTACCCCACTTCCGGAATCAGTTACAAAGAAACATATCGAATCGGAATCTCATGTCACCGAATCAACACCAGAACAACCTGAAGTAACTTCCCAATCGGAAATTGAGAGAGCTTCAACGGAATCGAGGAAACCAGATGTTGAGATCGCCACTGAAACAGTACAACCCGAAAGTTCTTCAGCTGGAGCTGATGTAGGTAATGAAATTGAAGCAACAGCAACAACCGAAGAAAAACTTCCACCGGAGGTTGTCGAGAGTGAAAGTGGAGGAACCGAAAAACCGACAAGAACCTCGCAATTACCCGAAGTAACATCACCCAAGGAACAAGTGTCAACTGAGTCAGAAGCGATATTACCTTTCGGAGAGGAACAGCAACCAGTAGTCACTACACAGCCATCGGAAGAACAACCGGAAACAGAACTTGCTGGTGAAATTGTAACTGTAAAGCCATACACCGCCGAGGTCATTACAGAACCTGAACAATTGTCTACCGAACCAGTAGTAGGAGAAGTAACCGCTGTAACGGAGGCTGAAATCGAGCAAGACGAGACTGCAAAGCCAGTGAAGGAAGAGGAAGCTCATGAAAGTACTACGACACCTCTATTGCCGAAAGAACCAGTGTCGATACCAGCACAAGTTACAAGTCAACCTGAAGAAACCAGTGGGGCTACAGAGGAACCAACAATCTTGTCAAACTTTACACCCGAAGTTTCGTTTGGAGAACCTTCAGAAACTGAGCAACCTACCCAAACTAATGAACCATCTGAAGAACCGCAGGTAACAGAACAAATTACCCAAGATACTGAGAAACCAAAAACAGGAACCGAGAAGCCAACGGAAATAACTGGAGCAACAGAAACCGAATTACCGTCATTGTCAGAGGATGTATCTACCGGACCGGAAGAAGTAAATAAAACAGAACTGTCGGTTACTGAACAAGGAATTGAAGCCCAAACTGTAGAACCCGGAACTGAGTATTCTCCAGTAACTGCGGCAGAACCGGTTGCAACGGAACGAGTTCAAGAGGTAACAACAGTGGAGAGTGAGGAGGCTGGAGTAGAGACGGAAAAACCAAGTGATAAGGAATACGTTACTCCGTCACAAGTTCAGCCGGCTACAGAAATTCCAACAAAAGAAATTCAATTGCCATCTTTAGCAGAGTCTGATAAGGACGGTGTTACTAGTGCACCGGTAGATATTGAAAAAGAAGGAACGACTTTGGTTGCGATCCCGGATATACCGGGAACTGTAACGCCACAAAGCGAAAGTGGACTCGAAACGCAGACGACCGGAATTCCTGAGGTGCCTGCTGAAAAAATAACTAGTAAACCAATAGAGGCATCAAATAAATCTGAAGAATTTTCTAAACCAGCGGAAACTATTACCACACTTTCTCCTGATTTTGAAAGTTCAGTCTCGACGGAAGTTTCCAATGCGTCACAGCCTGAGTTATACACTTCTGGACCAAGTATCGAAATATCAACTCAACCTGCAGTAGAGGGTGAACTATCCACTTCAGTACCTCTATCTACAGAACCATCCTCTACGGCAGTACCAGTAACGACTACTAAATATCCACCTGCACAAATACCTGGCGAACAAGTACCAACGGCACCCGATTACCAAGAACCCGAAGCTGAATACGAGGATGAAGATCAGAATACGTTCGGTCCCGGCACGTGCAGATATGGCGGCAAAGTCTACGTGTCGGCGCAACAAATACCACGAGACGATCCATGTGATTTTTGCTTCTGCTTCAGGAGCGACATCATTTGCCTACAACAGAGCTGTCCGCCGCCTATACCCAGATGCCATGAGGAACCGATCAGAGGTTTTTGCTGTCCAAGATATGAGTGTCCAGTTTCGATGGCAGTTTCTGTCAATTTGACAACGTCAACGACCACCACTACCACCACGCTTCCTCCACACTTTTTACATCACGCATATAAAGGTAGGGCGACCAAGACAGGTTGCCAAATACAGAAGAGAGCGTATAAAGTTGGAGAAGTGATCGAATCGACGTCTGGGCCTTGCCTGCACTGCACGTAAGTACAATTTTGGTTTCTTTGGTATTATGACAAGACCATTTGAGACACGTTTAGCTCGGTGTTACTATTAGTGTTCGCAGAAGGTATACGCGAATTTCTTCGGTCGATTACTATTTTGCTCCCGTGCAAATCATCCTGCACACAATGTTCCGAATAGAATACATGATAAGATATAATTCAATGGCAAAAGGGCGAAAACTTTTTAAAGCTTTGTGGAAATAACCAATGACCCGCTTGGATTTTTAACAAAAAAACCTTTTTTGCTAATTCTTGTATCTGTAGCGGCATTCTTAATAATGTTCAATTTTATTGTGGCTATTGCAAATTCGCTACTACGTTATTTAACAACTTGTCAAATTTTCTTGATGGCTTGTCTTCATCTTGTACGGCGTGCATTCATTTAATAATTGTAATGACGCAATCACACATCGCTATGGCTCAATAGCCACAAAAATACAAAGTATGCCCACGTCTCGAATCATTTATTAACACCAGGAAGTGTACATTCTGGTTTACAAGTAAGATCAAAATAGGTCTTTAGAAAAAATAAAAGTTTGATTCTTCATTTGTGGGACATGCGCTTTAATGTTTTCGTAATTAGAAAAGTAATATTAGAAATGCGTTACTAATTTCAGGTGCGGTGGTGACGGCCAAATGAAATGTGATCCTAAACCATGCAGTCCGGAACCCATGTTGAGGCAAATGATAGCTGCAGCCACGTCAAAGCGAAGAAGATGAGTGAATTAACCGTGTAAAATAGTGACATAAACTACGTCAACCAACAAACTAACAAAAAAAAAAACGAAAGTGATATTGCAGACAATTTATTTTAATTGAAGTTTAGTCCCAAGCTTAAGGAAATGTTTTCTCGGGTGCCAAAAAAAAAATGGACAATTTAGGTATTGTGCCTTTTAACGATATACAGAGATGTGCGATTTTTAATGATGAATAACGAATACGGCAACAGAGTATACATTGGAATAGATTCACCACGTATATTTTCAATGGTTTATTGTACAGCATTTGTGTATAAAAAAAATTTGTTCTAGCTTTGGCCGATTTGATAAAGAAAAATGGCTTTATCGAATTGTGTAATAGTAGTTTAACACGATGATATACGTTTTTTAAGTTGTAAAATAGCTTTTAAATATTCCCAAGAAATGCGAGAAGCACCGAAAATCTTATCGTATTTACCCAGTCTTCTGCGGTTTACTTAAACCTTAAATTGAAAATAAATACGCGGTGGGGCTATTTTCGATTACACCCTGTACATACAAGAGGCGACCTATTTGAAGGCCGAAGATGCAATTTGTATACTCGAATATTACCAGTGGCGGGCGCGGGGAATAAAATTTCAGTAAACTAAAGAATACTAAGACCGCAATCAATCCTCAAACAATTGAGCGTGACGCCAAACGCCAACCCATAATAATATGACTGAATCTTTTTATACTTTTGTAAATGTATATTTACTGGAAATTTCTCTCGGAGTGTGTTACTTTTCTTGTAAGCTAGCAAACTATATCGCGCTAGTAGTATTTACGGTAATTTGTGTTGCGTATCCCTCCCTAATCGAGATCTAGGTTGTTTGACCGGCAGAACAGCACCGTCGAATTGTAGAGAATTTTCGCAGGCCTTAGTGATAAGTTAAGCGATTTCGGAATCGTTTGGGTTTCTGCTGCTTGAACGCCTAGATCGGACCCTGTATATTAACGGATGCTCAATATTATATAGTTTTTTAGGTAAGATATGTAGTATTTATCAATAATAAATAAATTATGTAAATTGCGAATGTTTTGTTTTTGAGACGTCAGAAGTATTTTTATCAAGTCATTTGATGCAGCTCTTGATAAAATAAAGCGAGATTTGCACGTGCTGAGTATAATAAAAATGAAACTCGAACTATATTGCTTTAGGCAAAGATAAGCTACGTTACCTTAAATACTGATCATTCTGAAACCTACGGGGTGCTGTAGGAATATTGGATTATTTATAGACAGGAATTTACGATTCGATTATGACATTATTTCACAGATGTTTGGCCTGCACTCACGAAAAAAGAAAAACTTAGTTAGCGGCCGTTGCCTGAAATTTTGCTGTAGTTTGCGTATATTTGATCACATACCTGAAACCTTCAGTCAGCGAGAAGCGTGTTCGAGCACAACTCTTACTTGGGGTTCACAAGAAAGTTACTCATAAGGAGCCGCCACAGTTGCACAAGAATCGGTTTGCCGTCCCCAGGCACAATGCCGCTCTTTTGTAGCGAAGTATTATAAATATTATAAAAATTATAATATCCTTATCATTATTTAGATCAAAAGTTAAATTTTGTAGTAGTTGGTGCATTACGGGTTTCAAAACTGCAATATTTACCTGAAGAAGACTAGAAATACTTAGTCAGTTGGAACTCTATGCAAGTAAATAATAAATAAAATCCAAAATATCTCAATTTATCAATTTATCAATTGACCTGCAAACAAACGCTTAAATTAAATTCCTACATCAAAAGATATTACAATAATTGTTGCTTAATATTTTCAATACTTTTTAACATAGAGAAATTTTGTTTGATGGATTCCAAATGGATGCCAAATTCGTCCGGTAATGTCCCGGAAATGTACGAAGTGGTTCGTACCGTAGGAAACAAAACTTACGTAATAAAATGACAATTTCCGCACGGTAGATCGGTATATGCTTGAGTATTTAACCGAAGGCAGTATAAGAAATATATTTCGAGAAAATCAAGGTGGATCCTTATATAATTTAGACGTTTGTTCTCTTTTCGTTTCTACTTGCTTTTCCATCTATTTCTTTCTTGGGAAACTTTATTACAGAAACTTATTTGGATACCGACTTTATTATTATTATTATTTAGAGTTCCAGAGTGCAAAAAGTGTAATTGCATATTTAACGGAAACTGACGATTACGATTACACATCATATAAAACTGGAATAGCATTTAAACGATATTTTGTAGGAGAATGTTAAAGATGTAATATTTTTTTTGGCGGTATTTACACTAATTTAAGGATAACCTTATGGTGTTTATCGGTAAGCTGTTGTGGGCGTATTTTCTTCAGTCTATCCCTTTTTGCCAAATTTATTTTATACTATTTTATAATAACTAATGCTAACTAATTTTCGATAAAAATGATTTGAAATTTCAAAAATTGAAACCAATATATCAAAAAACCAAGATTGCAGAAACTGTTACCTTAAATGTAATAAAAATAGTAATTACGTTTACTTACCGTCGGCTAAGATGAAAAAGAAAAAGATTAGATGTGGAAATACTAATTATATAATACCCGTATCTGTGCCTTCGAATTTTTCAGAAACCAATATGTACAAATAAAAGGACATAAAAACTGCACTCCAAAATATATTGTTAAACTTTTCAAAAATTGGATTCCGATGTCTAAAGAACATCAAGTTAACATAACCGAAGAACCCATGCTAGATAAAAAGTACCAATGGAGCGTGGATACTAGTAAGCATTGCATATTTCCAACTGCAAAAATCAATTAAATTCAAAAGAACGATAATACGTAATCATTGAATTTAAATACCTAACCAAAATTGACTTTACTTGTAAACTATAAATAATTTCGCTGTTTTTAAAACAAAATCTTTTTTTTTTGTTTTCGACTTACATTAGTTATGTGCTCCTCAGCACTATGCACTACAAGTTGAGCACAAAAATTGTGACACATCCTTCTCTATCTTTGAAAAGCCCTTTTTGTAGTTTCTCCTCTTAAAACGAAAATCGTATATCACGACAAGAGTTTTATTTTAACATTATTATAATTAATGCAAATTTTCGGATAAACAATAGGAACGAACTAATACATTACGCAAAACAATACAAAAATATTTCACAACTTGGATAATAATTTTCAGCTGTCATCGTCAAAGGTAAATTTATAAAATAGTTTTAGAACAGTTTTAGATACATAGTTATGCTTAGTTATTTGGATATAAGATCTGCACAAAGTATCACTTCTAAGTTGACAAAAATCTCAAATAGAGTAAAAGTATTAAATTGAAAATTTGCTCAGGTGAACCAGTGTATTACGAGGATTCGAGCCTGTAAATGTACTTTCCTCGTCTTATCAATGTGCGTATGCATTTCAAACGGTGAGTCATGAATATTGCTACGGTATCAGTTATTTTATATGATGTCTGGAAATAATGTTCGAGTAATTTCAGAATCTACATGAAAAACTAAGAACATTTTTTTATCTGTACATCGGTCCGAAAATCATAATTTTCAAAATGCAGAGTGTCAAGCTTTTAAAAACTTTTGCTTTGTTTTCGAGAAGAAAAAAACAATTTATTGTATGTCCCTAATTGGCAACAAATTTTAATCGGTTTTTTTATTGATACCTTTAATAACCTTTATGCAATTTCCTTGGAATTTAGCGGTTTGCTATGTAGCGATAAGAGGCCAGCGACATGCAATAAATTGGTTTTTATTACTTTTCTCGAAAATAAAGCAAGATACGAGAAAAATGCAACACAAAAACACAAACGAAGTGTATTTTTAATTGCTTAATTTGACAAAAAAATAAAACCAGTAAAAAAGTCAATCGCGCATTTTTTTTCCGTTAAAAATATGTGATAGTGTGCTTCTCGGTACGCCAATGCATTTCATATTTTTAATTTAATTAATTCTAAAGATCACAATAAACAACACTACTAAATTTCACGGTTTCTTATATTGATGACTTGACAGTATGAGAATTAACAAACGTCAAAATTCAAGTAGGGAATAATATTTCCGAGTAGAAAAATACTATAAGTAAGGCAACGAAACCTAAAATCGAAATATTAATGACTAGAAGAAATTGATTTAACATCATATGTTTTGATAAAACTTTTAAAACTTTTGATTTGGAACACTAAAATGAACTATTCGCTACTTTTTATAAAGCGCTTCTGACTCTTACGACTATGACTTTAAATATGGCCTAAGGATCTTGGAAACAAAATGATTATCATGAAATAATTTGCTATAGAAAATAAAAAAAAATAGAAAAAAAATATTTTAATTATTTCTTGTTTTGTTTGAAAATTAATTTAAAAATTACTTTTCAAGAATGTTGGCAAAGCGCTCAGGAATGGTTTAAAAGAACATATTTTTCATTCGCACCGCTGAAATTTCTTACGAAATTATACGTATCAAAATTTTATAGATGTCTGGAGGTTACTAGAAGAATAATCATATTACAAATCTGTTGGATACATGTAACTTCTAGTACCGGAACGGTACCTCATAACTCTAAAATTAATATCGGTAATATTAATTCCCACCTCCCTAAACTTAAGCATGTCATTGGTAACTACGTAGATGTAACCGCCATAAACGCCGAACCCATCTGGCCATATCAACGTTCTAGAGTTTCGTTCGATGACTTCTGAGTCATCTAAGGGCTCCGAGGTATCCCATTTGTTTATCTGGTCCAGAGGTGACAATCCAAAATATATCGTACCTTCTGAATCACAAATCATACCGTCTAGAAAGCGAAGTAGACTTAAAAGCGTTTAACTGAAATGGCGTACCCACCTGTAGCCCCTTTCTTTCTCCCGTGATTTGTGACGTATTGACTAACGTTTCCAATGGCTACATTTTCCTGCTTCAAAATTGTAGTGGGTATTGAGTAAATGTGGAATGACATTTGTGGCGTATAATACAATAATCTCGGATTGGTAGTTACCGGAGATAGGGCAATACCATTAATGTTGCCAAACATAATATTTCGTACCCCATGGAGTGTAAAATTGAATGCCAACGGATCAGCTCTCATAGTAGCTTTGTCGCGAACTTTCCAGGATTTGTTGAGGAACCTATTATATACCACGATTCCTTAAATGGAAAATGGGATTCTAAAGATACTTTTCTTACAACCTTTGATTAGACATAGACAGTTACCTGGATCCACTGCCGTAATATCACTGATAAACGCCCAATCGCCATCGACTACTAAATCATCGAGGAAGCATCTCTTGTTAATGGCACAAATCTCTTCTGGAAAGTTATATGTTTGGATCAATTTTCCGTTGTCGTTTGTGTCGAATAACATTAACTTTCCAGGGCACTGTGTCAAGTTAGATCTTCGCGTACCATCCAGCGCCCACAGTACTCCGTTCGGGTCGATTTCTACACTAAGTACGTCCTACAATCGCATTAAGATTAATTTGGGTTAGGGATTTCTCGTAGATCTCTCCCAAAACTGCTATGTGTACCAGTAAAGATGAACAAGATTGTCCGCTATTAAAGTCCCAATTGGGATAGGGTTTCAGTAGGGGGTTGTGTTTATCATCTTTTAGAGACACTGTAGCTAGCGTTACCCTGGCCGACGTTTTGTTTCGAATAAGCGTTAAATAAACTGTATCTCTGTATACTTTAATACCGGTGATTACGTCCTCGCCTAGAAGAAATACAAAAAGTAACTTAATCGACAACTAAATATTAAAATTTAAAGTTAGATACAGTAGATATAGTAATATGTAAATAATAAATTTATGTCCAAACTGGGTGTTACAAATCCGTTTCATGTCATTGGGATCTCAGCAACTGTAAGAGTATTTCCTCCGATAAAAGTCCAATTTTTTCAACATCAGAACGGATTTACACTGAGCAACCGTGAACCATGACAACCGTAATCATAAATATCAAATAGATAAGAAATCTAAATTCAGCTCGTAATAACTTTGTTGGAGTAAATTTTAAACAGTTAGAAGATATCATTTGAATATCCAGAAGTCCATTGGGGCCATTTAAAGCTGTTAGTTATTATTTCATTAATTTTTATTTGAATACAGTGAGAGATGTCCCTTAATACATGATAATCCATTAACTACAATTAACACATATATTCTGTTCTGTTCTAAAGAAAAAATAAATAACAAAGTTGTCCATTCATTTTGTCAAAGATTTTAATTATGTATGAAAATCAGTGTCTATTTTCCCAGTTGCGATAGGTGAAAAATAATAATAAAAAATCAATTTGGCATTCTTGTTTTTTTCACTGATCACGAACTTATACTGTAGTGTAATACGCTTTGTATTGATAATAGATGCAATACACCATTATTTTCGGTATTAAATTTCCTTCTAGCGCACATTAAAAATTGTTAAAAATTATATTTGTCCGATATTTTTTTAGCCACGTTGACGAGTTTCCAGGGTTTCCGATTATATTTGAGTGCTACGAACTGATATAATGATGGATGATGGTAGAGTAAAGACCTGCCGTATTTGATTCTTAATTTTTGTTATGGACCTGTCAGCATTCTGTTTATTTAACTTTTATTTTTTTAACATTTTATCGAAATTGTTGAGTGTTATCAGTTTATTATCAGGTTATGGAATTGTTGAGTTAAATGACCAACTCTTAAGAAATTGCTTACCAGGTACGTAGCCAAACTCTTTTCTTTGAACTTCCGACTGCCAATCAAAGTCAATGTAATTCCATCGAAAATACGTCCGAAACTTATTGCACTGGACTGACAGACATATCGACCATACAAGTATACTGATAAATACCACCCTCGACATCTTGTCCAATAACTTTCATTAAGTTTGGTTAGTTTGACTAAAATTGACTCAAGACGCGTGTTATATATACATATGGGGAAGCTTCAAACAAGTCGTGCGATAAGCGTATTAAATTCGTTCGAATCTTTTGTTGTTTGTTTTATAATATAAGATAAGACACGCGCAAATAATCGAACGTATTTGCATAAGTCAATCAAAATGACCGATAATGGTCAATTTGCATATTTTGGCGAAAAGCGCATTGCGACAAAAAATGAAAATGAGCGAATTTTTTCATTATAGATAAAATTTGTGGGTATGGTGAAATTAAGTAGTTTACACTAAATATAAAATTTTGTAAAATTATACGGCAGAAAGTTAATCAATAAATACATAAAAAGCTACGCACGCTCTACTTGCTGGAAGTTTATATTTAAAACATTTTTTATGGTCCAACTGGTCGGTTTGGCATCTATCTGATTTAAAGCTTCATATAGAAGGATATGGAGAATGAATAAAGATATTTCAATTTCAATGCAACTTCATTTTTGGATTCTATGAAAAATTTTGAAACTTTTAATGTGACACATATTATCGCTTCCTTGAAGTGTTTTTCAGATAAAAAATATTTTGTAGAAAATTTTGCGAAGAACATCTACAATAAAAAAAATATCTGTCAACCGTTTTAGATAAAAATATGAAATTTTATTTACGGCTTATCAAGGCTGCTCCTTTATATATGAGATTTAAGCTACAAGCATACAAGTATAAAGGTAAATTAAGCGTGAATTTTAATCCGATCTCCGTATCGGTATTTTTATAATTTATCATATTTTATTAAATGCAAGAAAATATTATATTGCGGATATGGGAATTCTTTATTTATTTTATTTTCAACGATATGCCTACTTTATTTGATTATATTCGAAAATTAGGTATGTAAGGACACGGTCCAAAGTTATTTCCAAAAGTTCGCTGGTAAAGCTCTTGTTATAATTAGCAATGTATTAGTACATTATGCAACAAATGAGGTAAAAGCGCGCAGCGGATAAACGAGTGACCCAATGTGTTGCTTACTATACTTTGTCTACGACCGTTAATTTTTGAGCACATTTTTGCAAAACAACACGAATGCATTCACTGACATGTGCGTCAGAATTGACAAACGTGGAAATTTAAGCCTTGCGGTAAAATCTCCGAAAAAATCCGATTGCTCCCGAACCCGTGCGGTAATATCGCGGAAATATCCGGTCTCGGATCCGTGGGATCACGTGGTAAGGTGACGCTTTCCATATGCTAGGTCGGTGTATAATTAGGTATTTTACAGAAGGGAGTAGAAAAAATTAATTTAATTTAATTTAATTCTGAAATAATATTAATGCACGAAAATTCGAAATTGCTTTCTGTTTTAGGACGCGGAATATTGATTTAGCAATAATTTCAATTTAGATCGCAGAGTGTGTTCTATGCGGTAAAGTCTGTTCATAGATATAAGAAAGCTGTAAGAATGAAATATGGCCGAACAGGTCCGTACTTTGCTTATAATTTAATTATTTGGTGTTTTGTTAGGAAAGATGTATTTATGTTTAAATCTAAAATAAAATTAAAAATTATTTTTATTACCTACTTAAATTACTTAAAATTATTCACATAATATATCAGTATCACTATCGCCATCATCGCCTGTTCCAATTATTATTTGTTCTATATTATTTGCAATATGGATATACGATTGCTCTGCTTTTTCTATATGTTTAACAGAATTTGCCCAACTTTGTGGAGGGATGATAAAAACTTCGGTTTCTATAAGTTTGAGGACATTGGAGTTAACACGGGGAAAAACATTGTTACCACGAATGGCAGATTTCAGTTGGTGCCAAACATGTTCAATAGGATTAAATATACAGTGGTAAGGTGGAAGCCTTAAAACTGTATGCCCTAGATTTTATGCATAATTATCACAGACGTATTCCTTTTGTAGGTTCAAGCTTTGTAGAACCTAAATTAATTGCTTTTTGGTATAATCTTCGTGAAAATAAATGTCGTTATTATACATGTAGTTTTGGATTGTTGCTTTTGTGTCACATGAGGAAGGGGTTTTAGTCAACTGTCTACCGAGATAACTTGCATTGTCCATTACAATTACGCAATTACGAGGAATGTTTGGAACTAGTTTGTTTTTAAACCAACTTTCAAATAAATCAGCGGTGGTGTCTCCCTGGTAGTCCAGAGAAGAATCCTTTAATATTTTCCGCAGACAGAGAAAGTCCATTTGGAATCCAACCATCTTTAGAGCCAGCATTCAAAATTCTTTTACCTCTTTTTGATGGCGCGTCTGTTTTAAACTTATGAGTTGAGTCAATCCAACCCTTTTCCGGGGTATCATAAGTGTCGAACCAGCTTTCATCCAAGTAAATAATTGGCTTTTGTTATTCTCTGTAAATCCTAATTTTTTCTAGATATTCCAATCGCCATTTCCGAATTTTAAAAGATTCCATTAAAACTTGCCTTGTGCCAATTTTTTTAAATCTAAAACCCATGTGTTGAATACACTTCCATAAGGTAGTTCTGCCACATTTAACACCGGTTTCGTCTTTGCAAGCCTCCTAATTAAGATATTTAATGTAGGCATGCTTTGTTCCTCGTACAACTGGTAAATTTTAGGCCGTATTATATCTGGAACACTTTCATCTACACACGAGAAAATGTCAACATCGCTTCTTTTTTCCTCGATGAAATAGGATTATTCACAATTTTCGTCAATGTGGCCGTTTCTTATAAAGATGCTTGCTTGCTGGCACCACGTTCAATGGGAGTTAAATAAACATTGTCTATAACTTCCTTAGTCTCAAAAGAATAGCGTTTTCTACATTTGGGAGGGACCATCTTCTGAGATACACTAGACTCGCACATATGTTGCATAATTCGCATCCGATTCAACACACGATGTATTACACACGGAATAAGAATGATTACTAATAAACTTAAACTAAGTAGTATACCAAACCAAAGAATATTAAACACAGGTAGGTATAAAATTATTTTCTATTACGGACCACAATTTTACCTGAATTTAAATTCCGAAACTTTAGGAAATAATCTTGTTGCATTGTATGTTAATGACCACCCTTGGATAATCCCATCCAAAAGCAATTGGTCACTTTCTTATATCTACGAACAGATCATACCTCGATTAAATAACAATAACTCTTTCGTACATAGTACGTAGTTTTCACGCACATTGAGTATACCTTATAAAGGTTACTCAGGGGATTTTTATTCGAGATATCGGTCATTTAGAGTTTCCAATGCATTTAGATTTACAAATAGTATGCTTTGACGATTTAAACAAATGCAATACACGCGCTTTCAAACATCATTTTGTCAAATTTTCTTAAATATTTCCCAATGTTGCGGGCATTTTTAAAGGTATTGAAGTCACTGTTATTAAGTTTTGTATTCATCGGAAAATTAATTATTTAATTGTATATTGTGCAACGCACTTTAGGCACAAGTTTGTTTAGGCGTGAGCGTAATAAGAAATTTATAAACTTGTTGCATATTATTCTTTTTCTACGGCCATTAGTTTTTAAGTAGACTTTTAACAAACAGCAAGAGTCCATTAACTGAGTGCCGTGTGACGTTACCATCAGAACTGGCAAACGTCAAAATGCCATCACTGTGTTGATTAATCAATCTTGTCTTCCGAAAACTTACGGCGGCTAACAACACATGACGAATGTAACGGGAATGCTTGGCGTGATTAATGAAGGTGACGTTTAAAGTAATACTTTGCGCATGCGTAACCAGTGGATAATTTAGTATTTCAAACGATATTTTAAAAAGGGCACGTGTTAAAGAAATAATCTCGAAAGTAATGTTGTACAGAGCAACATTTACAGGATATAACTATTTGCAGGTTCAAAAAGTTATTTTTATTTAATCGACGTACAAAAGCAAACTCCTCAGAACAAAGAACATTAATTCCACATTTTAATGTAAAAATGTTATTAGTTCAGGCAATGAATTTTCACTTGAAGACCCTGTATTCTGATTATCTACTTTTGTGCTAAACGAAGAAGTTTTACCAAGTTTTACCATTGATCATGAAACACCCTGTGTAAAGATAAATACATGGCACGTTTTTTTCGTAATATCCCAGCAATTATTATTAATATCGACAAATTTTATATGGAAGGAAATTAATGATACAGCGTGATTCTGGGAGCAAAAATATATCAACCCAATCCTGACGCCGAGAACCGTTCTGACATTTGAACTTTTTGAAAGTTTTATTGACTACACCACATACGTTCTCTTCCAAACCGTGATGCGTGCCTTCAATGAATCGCTTGGCACATTATATATCTTATGCATACATACCTGCTACATAGCCAAATTGGGACGCATGTTCGGCAGAATTCCATGTGAAATTAATATATTCCCATTCGAATTGAACTCGAAACGGCCTTTGAGGATACTGTTCTACAAGGGCCAAAATTACAGTTATAATCGCAACAACAGCCGTAGAGCTCATCAAAAACCCGACAAGTAAAAACTTGCGCCAAAACATGTTCCCGACAAAAGCTGCAGCTTCGTAAGCGGATGTTTTGCCAATGTCCATCGGAAATCGATCAGGTTAATATTTAAAATGTGAGAACTTGATTTTGTGCTAATAAATAAGAGATGCATTATAGCGCATACACAATTGATGCATGGCGTGATAATGAATAGATAAGGAAAATGAAAAAAATATCTTAATCTAAAGTAGTTGTAGTTGAGATAATTTCTGACGCAATTAACGAATTAATATGTACAAAATCACTTGACTGGTTGAATAACAGTTCTGGATCTGCGAACATCAATATCAAATCTATTTTTGACAAGGAAACAGCTAATTATTACTGCCTTAATTAATATTATCGATCGTCAAAAAAATTATATCGAGATCTTTGTTATGGTTTTGGTTTTTTGCTAGAAACTGAATATAATCATTTATAGTTGTGAAAAAATGACACACGAAAATCACTGACTACTGCATTCATTTATAAATAACGAAAGAAAACACATATTACCTTGGAAAACATCTTAAAACATATACTTTTCTTCCTTCTAAAATTCTTTGTCTTAAAATAAATTGTAATAAAAGTTAAACTTTTCAATAAGAAGTAAATTGAAACTACAACTGTCAGTAAAAAACTTCTTAAGATTTTGATGTGTTATATATATATATATATATATATATATATATATATATATATATATATATATATATATATATATATATATATATATATATATATATATATATATATATATATATATATATATATATATATATATTTTCACGTATTGATTCACGGATGGAAAATTGTGATGACACTATGTTCCGGGATATCATCTGTTCGTACTTTTTCACAAACAGCGCTAATAATGGACAATTAAAAAAAATAATAAATTTGTGAGTATGACTATTATTTGTAATTTTTAAATTCGTATATGTCTACTGTTTAAGATATTCTGTGTTAGACGTTTTATTTTTTGATAGCGAACTAATTCTTTGTATGATCTCGCTTTTTTTGTCCTTTGTTTTGCAGTTTTTGAGAAAGACCTGGTTTGCCGGTCGAAACGTCAATGACAATTACAGTGTTTTAAAATTATTTGTGAGTTTTGTTGACTGTGGACCAAACCCTAAGAATCAACCTATAAAAAATATACAAGGATCCAAGAAAAGCATAATTTCAACTATATATTCTCAGAAAACACTTCGAGTGTTCGAAGTGTTTTCGGAGCGCGAGCATTGAAGATGCCAAGTGAGATTTTGGCGAAACGTCTGCAGGATTCCAGTCGGATGCAGGATTTGCAGGATTCCAGTCGGATGCAGGATTCCAGTCGGAGTTCAACGAGCGAACGGATGATATCCCGGAGTATAGTGTCATCACATTTTTTCCATCCGTGAATCAATACGTGAGAATATATATATATATATATATATATATATATATATATATATATATATATATATATATATATATATAAAGGATAATCCGAATTATAATGGAGATATACAGCATATTCAGCAGATAAAAATAAGTAAAGAGCTTCATATAAACTTATGGGCCAAAATACTTTGTTCTATAATAAAGTAATAATAAGTAAGTAATAAGTAAAAAGTGGTAGGCACTTTTTAAAATGATTTTTTATTAAAACGGTCTCACGAACGCCACTGGATAACGAAAAACAAATTTATCTATTCTAGAAATTTGTTTTTAAGTAGCAATAATAAGTTTAAATCTAGAAGATTTTTTTTTAACAAGAAAAAACGTTTTTTTGCAATATTGCAATTTAATATCTCCAAAAGAATTTTAGAACACAATTTTATATGAACTATTTTACTTATTTTTATATGCTGAATATGCCATTAAGTCATAATATGAACAACCCTGTATATGAACCATTGAGACATTTTATGCTGGAGTAAGTTTTCATACTTGGCCATTCATATTGAGCTGATACTGGGGAAACTTATTGTCAGTAATACACTACCATTCTAAGTAATCTGGAATAAGTCTAATTTAATTATTATTATTAAGTTAAACATACACAATTATGTACATTACTCACTTGGACCACACTATTTGCCAATCTTTCATGTCCTTGTTTAAAAAAGTATCAAATCAATGGTTCTTATAAAGGACAATAAAATGAAATCTAATCACAGAATTTATCATAAATCATCAAAATTAACAATACAATTTTTAGGAATTAAATCCAACAATTTTTCATATGCCTTGAGTGTAGCCTCTTCATTGCAAGACTCTATAGTCACTTTCACTTTGTACACACTGAAAAAAAAGTCAATTATAAAAAAAAACATGGGGGTTTAAATTGATATACTATACATAATGTCAAAAAAGCTTTTAAAGGATTGTTCTGTATGTGTTGTTTTTTAATAAATTATTTGAGATTTATACCAGTCCTTAATTATGAGTGAGTGAATTAGTGCCTGTTTTATTTTACAGAATACAGAAATTGATTGTATTTGACATTTAATATTCATTTACAGCACATCTAATGATGCAAAAACAATAATTGGACTTTTTATGTAGCAATCTGTGCAAAAGGGCACATGTAAAATAATTACATTATTTCTTATGTGCCTTCCATACAGTTCATATCATAAAAATAAGAAAAAACTTAGTTTCCAAAATACAGGGTGTTAAATATTTATTCAAAATAACTAACAAAAAATGAAGAAAGTGGCTGGCATACATTTTATAATTTAACAATACTAATTCTTGAGACACCTCTGGGTGCTGCACTAAACACCAGTTTTAATCTAGATAACACAAATTAAGCCCTTTATCATTGCAAATACATACAAACTATAAACAGGTGCACATTTAGATTTTGAAAATGTTTTTCTTGGTGTAAAAGTCAATGTTGTGGATGTGCGCTTTTCCAAATAGCCAATTCATTAACAAAACACACTCAGATCACTTGGTATATAATTAAAAATTAATGCAATTTTTATATTATTAATATTAGGTTAATTTTTAACAATTGAATTTAAATTATTCAAAAAATCTTTAATAGCAGACAATTATTTTGATTCAAATTCACTATATTAATATTTTAAAGAAAAAAAAATTGCAAAGTAGTCCCTTATTACCACTATTGTTTTCAATTTTTCAATACCTACCTATCATAAAGTTTGGGGTAGCAACCAAACTCTACCTCAGGAAACTCTTGCACAAGAATCTCGAGTTCCTTTACTATTTCACACTCCTCCATTGTACAATAAACAACTTTTGAAAAGAATCTTCTAGTTGAATTAAATAAAACAGGTCCTACACTTAAAAATGACTTTCTTAGCAATTCTGGTATCCCAGGAAACATATACACATTATGCACTGAAACATTGGGATATAACAATCTGCCACCATCAACTGTAGCATAGTGCAACCTTGAAGATTTTGGAATCTAAAATAGAACTGGACATTAATATACAATTAACAAAATGATCTTAATACCTACATAAGCAAGCTTCATCCCAGCATTCAAACTTTTAATACTTTTGTAGAATCGCATGCAAATTTCTTTCAAGTCAGAATTTAAATATATTGATTCACCAAAAGCATGTGCTACGGCTGATATAAACATTTTAGTATACAATAAATACTCAGAAAATAAAGAAAATACAAACCTTCATAAGTTAAGTCATCATGAGTAGGGCCTATGCCTCCTGTTGTTAAAATGTAGTCAAACTTATTGGACACCAATCTAACTTCTGCGGAAATGTCTTCTATGTCATCTGGCACCACAGAAATCTGCAAGATTCATCTTTAAAAGAAACATCCTAACCCAAGGTGGTCATTACATTTTGTAAGAGATCCAAACCTTCTTTAACTTTACACCAAGCTTGTGCAATTCCTGAGCCAAAAATTTGGAGTTGGTGTCCATTACTTGACCTTTCAGGATTTCATCCCCGATAACTGAGGAAAACATAAGCGCATTTTTATATATTCCTTTTGGCTATTCTTCATACAAACCCAAAATTCCGGCTGTTGTACACTTAGAATCCTTATTGGAATACCTTTTATAATTGTATTTCGATTTGGGAATGATCCGGTTAACAACCCTGGTGCACATCTTGTGATTGTTATAGATCTATATAACATACAAAAATTTATAATAAATACTATGAAATATAAATAAAGATTATTTCCCCTGACAGATTTAACCACAGCTCGTTCATAGCACAGAACGCTAAGATCCTTGTTTAGTTGTGTCCAGAGAATAACCCAACAAAAATTAGTTTATTTACAGATTATGCTACCAGATGCTCCTCTTTGTTTAGTCAAATAAAATACTCATGACGACTACAAAATGCGAGAGATTATTTCTGAGACAACTGTCAATTCTTGTTTCACAATAAAAAATAAACAACCAAAATATGTGCAAATTTCTGTTTCTATTTTGTCTTTAACATTTTTTTGTAAGGTGCCATTTTAATGTTATAGATTTGTGTACGAATTCATGTTTAACTTATTAGTTGCCATTTTGAAATTAAAATTTGCAATCTGTGCAATATAAATAAAATATACAAATATAAATGTAATAACGAATTCAAGTTTAGGATTGCAACGTGGCCTATTGGCAACATTGGAGACGAATTTTTTAAATAGATTGCTAACATAACCTTGCTTTTCTGAAATTGTTTGGGCAATTTCGTGCATAATACTATTTCATAAAGTTTTAAGTGATTAGTGTCTTGATCTAGATGTTTAACTAAGAACGAAGTCTTCAAAAAACAAAAGTTTTTTTTCCCAATTGATACTGCGATTCTGAAACACATCGGAGTAAGTAGTTTTAATTTTTGTTTTATTGTTGTTCCAATTTTCAATTGAGCTTCAACACAGTTTGGAATCAGAAAATGAAATTGTTCGCCCTTTACTTTACCTCGAAGGTATTTTTTTGTGTGACGTATGTTTAACCATTAAATGCAGATTCATGATGTAGGCTCTAGTCTTTGCGAATTCACCATAATTAATGTGAATTAATGCCTGTGCCAATCTTCTTCGTTAAAATCAGCTGCAGGGGTTCTTGCGCATTCGCCAGGAATGCGAAGCGATACTTCCAAATATGTGACTGCAAGTTACCCTGGAAATTTGAACCTAAGCTTCAACCTGTACTTTAACATTTTATTTACCCAATTTCTTGTCGAAAGAACAGATTATTAATAGATTATTACTAATAGCACCGCACTTTTTTAAGCAAGACTTTTGTTTTGAAAATGACTTCTTTGACTTTTCACTCTTAGGTTTTAGAGCAATCTTTTTTTACGTTTATGCTTGTGTACTACTAACGAAAATGGCCCCTGTTCAATAAAATCCGGCTTCTATATAGGACACTCTACGACCAAATTTAATTTCGACCAGAAATGTCTGCCGGTCAATAAACGAGGCCGATTCTAGTTTCCTTGAATGTCCAACTAAATAATGTAGGCAGGCGTCCCGCGGGAAAACGTTTCATTTATTTTGGGAATGCCTTCATTTTTCTGGAAGTGGGCCTGAGAGGATTACATGATACAGATTAAAAGAGATTGGATACTCTGATATTCGGAATGGATTTCGTCTTTGTTTTTTTGAAACTTTTTTTCATTTATATTAAATGCAATGTACGTCAGGAGTATGAGATGGGTTCCTGTTTTTCGTTTGATTTTTTTTTAATTGAATGTATGACCCCTGCTAGCCAACCCAAACAACACCTTTATTCCATCGCCAGTTCCATAGTTGTTTTTTTTTAATTAATCCGTGCTCTAGGTAAAAGGACTTGACTATAAATAATTAGTTATTCAAATCGTTAGTATATTATAATTCTTTTTACAAAACTTCTGGATTCCTCCTGCGTCGGTTTTTGCTGAGTCGAACTTGGTAACGTTTCGCCAGTCATTCTGTTGGCTTCTTCAGAGCTTGACTGAAACTCGCTCGCATTTTACTCTGTACCTGCTTATATATCGTTTGAGGGGGGCGGAGTTAAATAAGAGGCATAAAAGCCGTCTCGGATGACTGATTCCCATATTGGTGGCAGGTAAAGGTCTAAGTGATTAAGATTGTTTATAGATTTCTATAGACTCTCGGTTTTTTCGTTGGTAGAAAAATAATATTACTTATAAGATATGCTATTTTACTGACTATTAATAACATGGTTCGTTTTATTTTACTCGGGGTGAACTCATAATCGTTTTTTTAAGTACAAGCGAATTATAATTAATAATTCTTCCTTGAATTTATCGTTTTCAAACCGTTCACGATTTTTAGTGAATGTTTTGGATAGATAGACCGCTAACTTGTGTATGTATATACCTAAAATAAATTTATTAGATACAGTTTCGATCGAAACATCGTTTATAGTGATATGCTAAATTGAGAAAAGTTTCGTTCTCAAAAACTCAACGCACCCCTTAGAACAATCTCCAGTTGTTTCCACTGCTGCCATATTACTGGCTGATTATACATTCGAACATAACTGAACGATTACCTGTCCAAGATTGATAGTTATTCTTAACTATATGCTGTCTGCTATTTCCACGTAGATTTTTGAGGGAAATCTACGTTTTTCGAACTGTCTAATGAGAACTAGTAAGAACTTTGAAAACTTAAAGCCGAGCTTGATGTTAATGGTTCCACCAATCTGCTTAGTTTAAGTTTCTTGCTAACATAGCTTCCTGTACATCATCTTTACAGTTCTTTGGTGGCTTTCTTTTTTTTTTCTGGAAGCACCCAATCTCAGATTTTCTTTGAAAATTTATTCCATTTGAATTGCAACTTAAGCATTTTACTTTCGATCTTTCGTTTGGGTTCTATTACTTCTTCTCCAGTAATCCATTTCAAGAGCCAACATTCATTCCTTATTTCGTTTGGTCAATTCCCATGTTTCTGATCCATAAATAGAAAGATTGAATTGTATATGAATTGTTTGGGCCTATTCGTAATTCTGTTCCTCCAAAGCAGGGAATTATGTTGCCTTATCTTACTTGAAATGTCTTCAGTGCTTTTTCCGTTTTTGGATAGCGTCACTACTAAATATTTCTACTGATTGCAGTGTCTTATAGTTTCTTCAACCGCAATATCCAGATTACTCTGTTTATTGTCATCGATTCTTCATATTTATCCCAACAATTACCAAAAATGTTAATGAAATATATTTACGTTTTTCAATTTCTGTCACACTGTATTTTAGTATTACAGGTTAGCCCTTCTGTAAACTTGTTTTGGTAGCATTGATCTCGTCGAGGGAGTTTTCGCTAATTACGATTTGACTATAATCAATAGAAAGATCTTTGGATTAGACAACCTTAACCTCATTTTTTTTCTCCTCGTTTTCAATAGACAAAAAGCTTCTCAGAATCAATGGACATTTCGGCAAACGGCCGTGACGTTTAAACAAAGAAAAATAAGACATGCATGACGTTCGTCCCTTAACATATTTCCGTCCCCGATGGCCAGTCTAGTCCATTTTTTATCGTCCCTATTTTATGATCGGTTTGTTGCCGTCCGGCGAATACCTTCGAAACCGACTGATTTACGTTCCCATAGATAATGTTCGCAGTGGCAATGTCACAAATCAAAGAGACATTATGTCGCGAATTTAAATGTTGCCCGTAAATCAACAACCCATTGTCTGGGACCAGTATGTAGATTATGGGTTGAGTAATGGTACCGCGAGTTGGAGACAGGAGCGACCGCGACCCATGCACCTTCTCGTAGCTACTTAGAGTCGGCGCATCTGGCGTAGGCGTCTATAAAATTAATCTTGTCGATCCATGAAGATGGAGTGCATTCTAGATGATCTTCAATGTACCTTTCACAATCGTTCATATTCAGAATACTAGAGATTATAGAAGATTCACATTGATGGTACGGGAGGGTTTAGCATTCAGCTTTCCTGCATAGTTATAGAGCTTAATCTGGGTTTGTTTTTCTGATTAGACGCCGCACATTATCATATCACGTGAATGTTGTTGGCAGAATCTGCATTCAGTGTTTTCTTGTACTACCATTAGGTTAGATACCTTGAGGTAGTGTTCGGGCTGGTCAATTGACCACTTCTTAAGTGACTAGTCAAATTCAATCAAAATGTTTTAAATAACATCTTGCAATTGTAGTGTTATCTATCATTATTTAATAATAAATATATTATTGTAAATAGTAGAAGGCTATAGTAACACAAACTGCGTGACAGGTTTATTCTTAGGCCCCTCCTTTCCTTTTTCATCTCAGTTCGAAGTCGCCTATATGTTTAGGGTGCTTCTAGTTTTTTAGACTTTGAAAAGCAAATATGCAATCTCTCGTCGTTCATGAAGCAGTACGTTCCGTCCATAGAATATATTTTGATCTTTTTATTGTCGCGAGTTCCCTCAAAAATGGGTTGAGTTCGAAACCGCCTTGTAGCTTCCTTAGTTGCAAAAATATCCAGATATGTGTAGCGCCATAAAATGTCTCGTCAAAAAGTTGTCCAATAATTTCCATTTTATAAAATGTGTATCGTTAATGGTTCTCAAGATTGCACACAGGGGACAACGAATTTGAATCGCACAGTTCTATTTTCTAATTTTACCTACTCTAAATTCGTCATACATCGAAGAAAGGATGTTTTGCTGTTCCTTCTGTATTAATCGGTACTGAATCAAATTTGGCTTCGTAAATCAAAATACGCTGGAAAAGTAAACTATTTAAATGTTCGATATGGGCTGGGAAATTGTTTGAAATCGCGTGCATTGCCAACATAAACCTATTTGTGCGAAATTAGACGTTTCGGATAACAACCCGAAGGAAGTTGGCGATTAACTGTTACCTATGGGATTTACATGCAGTTACTTCATTGGCGCACAATAGATTAGAAATATAACATTCTTATGCCATAGTATGTATGTTTGTATGTACAATATCAAACTAACAAAATAGGTATTCGGACTTGATAGATGTCTCTGATTATTCTGAATTGATTTCAGCGTTTTTTGTTTATAGTTACATCCTATAAGAGATCTATGTTGCTTTTTTATTTCTCGAAGAAATTCCTATAGTTAGACTAGGATATTTATAATGATAAAATTGTCTCAATGAAAAATATCAATTTATTAAACTTGCAAAGTATCCTGCAATGTTTCATTTACAATTTTTCGGACCGTTTTTTAATTAATTTGTTTTATCGATATCGCTAGGAATGGATCGATTCATAGCATTTTTTAAAAATCTTTTGCGAATTCTGA